CTCTGGGAAGAGTACATGTGAGTTTACTCTAGAGAGGATATGGGGTAAAATCAAAATACAACGTTTGACCGAAAGAAAACAGACAAAACATACATCATACAATACACTAACAATGCTAAATAAAAGGGAAGGTAGAAGGCCGTATACAACTAGGTTTCTGAAAATGGAAGCGGGTGAGTTCCAAACGACTGTATCCGTTCGTTGATATGAACAGTGGGTAACCGGCTCCAAATGTGATGACTTTCTAGCTGTCGGCATGGCTTCGTAGCTCAATTGGTGGAACGCTTGCCGCATTTTCGCATGCTGTTTATGTTGCTGGTTCAAATCCAGCCGAAGCTCATATTTTTTGAAATTGGGCCTCATCTAAATTATGAAATCTGGTACACTTTATGACAACTGTTTTTACAAGACACAAGTAGGTAGAGTAGACATGGTTGTAATACACAACCGTGTTTTTCGTTCAGTCAGCTGTGTGAAACCCTTACTTAACGAGTGTCTTTAGCAAAATCTGCACATACATATATGTATGCTGTTCCTCCATTGAGCTTACGATCATACTTTGATAAAAGTGGTTCTACGTTGGAAGATTATTAGAAGTGTTTCAACCATGCCAGTCACTGGTTTATCTACAATGATGAGCACTAAATATACTTGACCATTTTTAAGATTTTCAACCTGGTTAACCATATTTGCTTATGAAAATACATGCATGATTCTCATGGTCTTCAGATGTAGCACTTCGACCGATAATATTCTTGAATATAATTTTGACCTTCATGATTAGCTTAGTAATTTTAATTTTTTCATTTATTTTAAAGGCTTTCGGCAAAGATGATGTGATTGGTTGCTTCCTTGATCTTGATACCGGTGTAATACAATGGTCAAAGAATGGTCGTTTGTTTGGCAACGCATACTGGCTTCCAGAACAATTACTCAAACAATGTGAACCAATATTTCCTGCAGCTTCTCTTGTGGACACTACACTTGAGTTGAATTACGGTGATTTACCCTTCGAATATCCGCCTGAGGTACAGTTAATCAGTTATCTATAGATTACTGTAACACGTTTACGGGTAACTGTGACTTTCAATTCAGACGATAAAGTGTATATATGCCATCAACCTTGTTTTTGACACTAATCCAGTGGATTTGTTAGCTCTTCAGCTTTGTCGTAATTTCAATTGAGACTACATAAAAATTGGTGTATCTATGGATTGATATTTACAAGGAAAAACTCACGCAAATAATTTATAACCTGTAACCAATGGATAGTGATGGTCAATATACTCCAGAAGACAAAAATTGCAAACTGAAAATTAACCCATCTTGTTCCCAGAGAAAGTCAGGTGTGGTTAAATGAATGTCTCAAAATTCAAACGAGGTTTTCTGTTACAACAACAATCATCTTGAAAATACTTTCATTTGCGATGTTCTCATTTCCTTTTGATCTCACAAAAAACCACTATTAAATCATTGTTGTGTGCTTAACGTTTCGTTCGGGAATTTAAATTTCGACACTGAAAAGTGTTTGTTCTAACATCAGTGTTAACGTGATACCAAGATAGATTGCTGCTTCTAATCGTTCGATACACTTTCCTAGAATACTTCGCCTTGGTAAATACTCAACCAAAATACACAGAAATAAATTGACTAAATTTTCTCAAATCACTACTTTCGTCACAGGATATTCGAGGTCTACAATCCCTGGTGAGTTTGTTCTAGCTAGGTTCATCCGCGAGAGGAACTCATCAAACATTAGGTCAGCTATGTTGGTTATACTTTTTACAGTAAAGTAAATGTTTAACTGTGCGCAACTAACTTAACTGCTTTTCGTGGTGAATTTGATGTTAACCAACTGGTTTTTAGTGGTCAGGCACGGCTTTGTTTGTATGCGTTTCTAATCAGCTTTATTATATATGTAACTGAGCGTTTCGCATAAAGTACATTACAAATAGAAAACCAACGTTGTTAGGTTTGACACATCGGTCTGACAAACCCTATTTTTTACGCATGCTTTAATGATTGTTAATAAGGCAAAAAGATTTTTTTTAAAACGCATTTTCGGTAGTGAGTTATGATCTTTTT